AAATTTTATTATGAAAAATTATAAGTTTAAATCCATCAGAAAACAAGATAAACTATACCCAAAGATTATTCAACTCAGAATTTTTGGAAATAATAAGGAATACATCTCCAAACAAATAATGAGCAAGATAACAGTTTGTCTAAAACAATCATAGTTTGTCGTAAACAATAATGGATTTGGGCTTTAGGAACTCAGTATTGCAGTATCATCATGACATACATTCTAAGTAACTGGCTCTTTCACTGTAAGTGTACTAGAAAAGATCTGATAGTTCATCAACAATCATGATCTTTGCCACATCTCATATAAAAATAACATTGTTTATAAAATAAAATTTACACCATTTTGTGCTGAGAATATCACTCAGTCAGAAATTTTGACATAGGCAGTCATGAAGACAAGAGTTTCTATGCCAGCACTCTTATTCAAAGCCAGGCATGGTTTAATCCCTGCTCTGGGGAGGCAAAGACAAGATGACTCCTGAGGTTTGCTAGCTAACTGGTCTATCAGAGTCTATGACTTTCATGAATCAGTGAGATTTTGTCTTTAAAAATAAGGTGGAACATGATTCAAGAAGACACCAATGTTCACCTCTATTCTCCAAATACAAATACACACAGGTGAACATACAAATAAACATGAACACAACATGTATATAACTAGATTCAATGGTAGAAAAAGTATTTAAAACTTCAAAGCTAAAGAAAAAATGTAAAAAAAAAAAAGATAGCATCTTCTCCAAATGGTGCTGATCCAACTGGATGTCTACCTGAGGACAAATGCAAATAGATCCATATTACCACCCTGCACAAAACTAAAGTCCAAGTGGATCAATGACCAGACACACTAAATCTGTTAAAAGAAAAAGTGGTGAAGAGCCTTACCTCATTGGAACAGGAGACAATTTCCTGAACAGAACACCAACAGCACAGGCTCTAAGATCAACAGTCAATAAATGGAACCTCATGAAACTGAAAAGCTTCTATAAAGCAAAAGACACTGTTGTCAAAACAAAATGACAGCCTACAGATTGGGAATCTTCATCAACCCTATTAGCTGACAGAGGGCTGATATCCAGAATACATAAAGAACTTAAGAAGTTAAACACCAACCAACCAAGTACTCCAATTAAAAATGGGGTACAGAGCCTAACAGAATTCTCAATAGAGGAATATCAAATGGCAGAGAAACACTTAAAGAAATGTTCAGCGTCCTTAGGCATCAGGGAAGATGCAAATCAAAACAACCCTGAGATTTCATCTTCAACCCATCAGAATGGCCAAGATAAAAAACTCAAGTGACATCAGATGGAAGGGGAGGTGGACCTCCCTATCAATGGACTTGGAGAGAGGAATGGGAGGAGATGAGGGAGGGAAGGTGGGATTGGGAGGGAATGAGAGAGGGAGCGACAGCTGGGATACAAAGTGAATAAACTGTAATTAACATAAAAAATAAAAATTTAATTAAAACAAAACTCAAGTGACAACATGTGCTGGAGAGGATGTGGAGAAAGGGAAATCCTCCTCCATTGCTGGTGAGAATGTAAACTTGTACAACCACTTTGGAAATCAATCAGACAATTAGGAATAGTGCTACCTCAAGATCCACCTATACCACTCCTAGGCATATATCCAAAATACTCTCAGCTATATCAGAAGAACATTTGCTCAACCATGTTCATAGCAACTCTATTCATAATAGCCAGAATCTGGAAACATCCTTGATGTCCCTCAGTTGAGGAATGGATACAAAAATTGTGGTACATTTACACAATGGAATATTATTCAACCATTATTATTTCATGAGGAAATCATGAAATTTGCAAACAAATGGTAGGAACTAGAAAATATCATCTTGATATGGTAACCCAGAAACAGAAAGACACACACGGTATATACTCACTCATAAGTGGTTATTAGACATATAATATAGAATAACGTACTTAAATCTATAGCCCTGAAGAAGTTAAACAACAAGGAAGACCCTAGATGATCCTCAATCCTCACTCAGAAGGACAAACACAATAGACATCGGAAGCAGGAGAAGACAGGGAACAGGTCAGGAGTCTACCACAGAGGGCCTCTGAAAGACACTACTGATTGAGGTATCAAAGCAGAGACTGAGACTCATAGCCAAACTTAGGACAGAATGCATGGAATTTTATGAAAGAAGGGGAGTATAGAAAAACCTGGAACAGGAACTCCAAAAGGAGACCAACAAAGCAAAAAAAAAAAAAAAAAAAATACTAAGCACTAGAGGCCCTGAAGAGAATGATACCCCAACCAAGGACAATGCATGGAGAGGACCTAAAACCCTGGCTCAGATGTAGCCCATAGACTCAGTCTCCAAGCGGGATCTCTCATAAGGGGTGCAGGGGCTTTCTCTGGCGTGAACGCAGTGGCAGGCTCTCTGATCACCTCCCTCAAGGGGTGAAGCCTTGCCAGGCCACAGAGGAGGATAAATATATCTAGTCCTGATGAGACCTCCTAGTCTAGGGTCATAAAGAAGAGGAGGAGGACCTCCCCTATCAGTGGTCTAGTGAAGGGGCATAGAGGAAGAACAGTGAGGGAGGGCAGGATTGAGAGAAGACAAAGGAGGAGGCCACATCTGGGATACAAATTGAATAAATTGTAATAAATGATAAGAAAAAACTTACTAAAAAAATTCATGGACACACTTGCATGTGTTTCATAAATGTTTCCTTGTTCCTCATCACAGTCATATTAAAGATCATTCTTTTAAATATTAATTATGTTTTCTTGATTGAACAATGAAAGCTAAGATCAACACACAAAAATGCCGGCATTCCTCCTCAGGCTTTCACAGTCTATTGGGAGTAAAACTACTCCATTGTAGTTTATGAAGCTGCTCTCCACACAGCTTCGTCTCCACGTGAGGAAAGACTTACTGACTAATGTTCTCCACATGTCCAGGCATCACTTTGTTGTACAGTCGACCTTAATTATCAAATCCCTTCCTCCTAATTTTAATAATTGTAACATTGGGCTTCCTCTGGCTTTTTCCTTATTTAATTTTACTCTGTGCTACCGGTTGACACATTTTAATCTTTGACAGTCTTTGAAGAAATTTCAACCCTTTGATTACTAAGTAATAAAATTAGAAATTTAGGGAAAGTGAAGCGGGTTATTTTGTGTCTTTGGTTACATGAGCCTTTGCATGTAAAGAAACAACCTTGTGTACTTCATTGTTGCATCTGAAAGAACTTTCTAGAAGTGAAGGGGATCATTGAGGAGACATCATTAAATGTCTGGTATAAATGTCCTGGTATAATCCCAGTTCGCCATCTTGGATGGTAGGCAGTGTTGGGTAGGAGCAAATGGACACTAGCCTTCCTCCTAAAGTTATAATACAGCACACTCTTTTTGCTTCATCTTACTGTTAATTTCAACACATTAGAAAACTTTAAAAGAAAATTTGGAATCCTTACTTTCAAATGCCAATTCTCTTCTTAGATGTAAAATTATCACTCGTACTTTCAAAGATTATAAAATCAGATTCCAGTGACCAGATCAAAAGCAGAGAAATAAACAATCCATGTCAACCATGAGGCACGGGGTTAAATTTTTCTTTCCACTGATAAATCCCACCCCGGAACAGATTTCATCAAGGCAGCTCGCAAAGCTTGCTGGTGAAGTACACAGGCCATGTGGGTGCCGAGCTCAGAGCCGGAAAGCAAACAGCTGCTGTAGCCTGATTTCAGTTAAAATAGTGTGAGTGTTTAGTCTGGCGCACGGCTTCGGGAGAGATTGGCAGCTGGGTCAAACAAAGTCCTTCCGTTGGCTCCCTTCCCAGGCTGCTCTGCTAGTATTTAGTGGGTCCCAGTGCTGTGTAGGGCCCTTTTCTCAGGCAAAATCCTAACATCTGACCGCACCCTCTTTGCTATTTCAAAAAAGAAGGAGAAAAAATAGCTGTGTTTCTGCTTCTTTCGTTATAAGATAAATTCTCCCGGAGACAACCTCTCCCACTAATTGTGTGTTAGCCATGCATTTTTATCTCAAGAGCTGACGCACTGGGCTCTCAACTGGGGTGGAAAGCAGCCTGTTACAGTGTGGGATTCCTAAAAGGGCCTCTCTGGTGTGTGAAAGAGTATCTGTGTGCTTAGGCAGGAAACTTTTTGATCTACAGGGAAGCCAGAAGACGACTAGGTAAGGCTCCGGGCTCAGAGCTGCTCTGGGGGGCAAACTTTGGCAGTGAAATTGGCCCATACAAGTGAAGCGAGTTTAAAGGGTGTGTGCTTACTTTTGTGAAAGTTGAAATGCACTGAAGATTATTTACTTATTTTGTTCATTGATTTAAAACTTAAATCAGGAGTCTGTAGTCGGTCTTTCTATGTTTTGTTTTTTCTGTTGTTGAACCGTTCGCAACAGATATGATTTTATTACAGAGCGAAATCTTTGTAAGCTGACACAGAAAGAAAAAAAAATGTTTTCTTAGGAGGGAAATTGACAAGTTTTAAAGAGAAATTGAACATTAGAGGGCAGGAGATAGTGCATTAGACTAGCGTGGGTCTTATTACCGAAAGAAAAGCAAAAAAGTTTAATGTTGCTTTGGAAGGAATATTAAATAAGTCCTCTTTGTCTCCTACTTTTAATTTTAGTGGCTGATTTAGCCTGTTGGGTCACATTTTTTGAGAGTGCTGAAGGCTGCCATGAATCCCTAATGAGGCCCCTTTGCACATGATTTTGGCCAAGTGCCAAAATCAACTTCCCAGCGGCGAGAGCTTTCTCTCAAAGAACCTGGAGCGATTTTTTTTTTTTTTATTAGAAATCATGTTTGAAAGCCGCCACAGCCAGTTGTATAGGCATGTCAAAAATGACTTTATACAGTAAATATGAAATAAGCCTTCAGTTGTTTTTTGTTTTCTTTTCTTTTTTTTCTCATTTTGTCACTGTGGAGTCTTTGCCTGTTGCCACCTAATCCTCAATAGAATAATAATAATCTGAAATAAGATTTAAGGACATTTTTTTTTTTTCCTTCAGCACATCGGGAGCACATAGGGATGCTCCCTTCTGACTGTGCAGTGTGCGCTATGGAGAGATTCTTCAAAACTCACCAGGACAAATCACTGACGAATTCATCAGACTGTTCATCTCTGTAAGTAACACGCTGTTACCAGTAAGGAAGAGTTTTCTAGAAGTGGTGTGCATAAAAATAAGTTTAACACTGACTTAAGTGGGGTCTTTGTGAACGGCAGAATGCCTTGGTGCTTGGTTTTTGTTGTTGTTAATATTTGGTACGTAATTTTAAAAGAATAGGTGATACCTCGATGCGTTTAACAAATCTTTTCGTGGAAATATTTGGTATGTAAACATGTCTGAATGATGAAATAATTACATTTAATTGCTTTCCCGTAAGATAAAGGATGAGTTTTCCTGAAAGCAGGTGAGAAGCTCAAACACACACACAAACACACACACACACACACACACACACACACACACACACACTTTTTGAGGCAGTTTTATTTTGAATTTAAAATAAAATAAAATTTTATTTTAAATTCAGGTTTCTGCACCTGAATTCTGTGAGGCAAGCAGTTATATAATTTTATAGGATAAGTTTTTGTTGTTTGTTTGTTTTTTTGTTTTTTTTTTTTTTAGTTCCGTTCAAAAGTTGCAATGAGATAGTGGCATTATTAGATGGTAACAATTTTAAATTTTCTGAGCAATCTTAAGCAATATCTTAAGACATCCAAAGCTCTTGGCCTGCCAAGCACTTTAAAGTTAGCACGGTGAATCTCAATGTCTCTGTTGTTTCAGGAAACCCTTGTGTCACCCCTCGCGCACGTGAACTTGTCCCCTGTGTTATAGTAATCTAATGTTTAAGTTTGATCTTAGTTACACTTGTATTTTCTATTTGCTATGTCAATGAGAATGAAATGAATTACCCGTCAGTAGAAACACGAATTAGAACTATCTTAATTGATATACTTATCACATACTTATAACTATACCAATTTCCTCTTGACACAATATAGCGCATTGTTCATTTGGATTGTGCAACAAACTGAAATTTTTAAAAAAATAATTAAATATGTTTTGATTACCTTCAGGGTAATTTATATGTTTGTACCTATATGGAAGCAATTTTGTTTGTATTTTTGCACTGTCACAGATGGCGTTGTGTACACATTATTATTGATTGAATTAAGGGTTGGACTGTATAAAATGATCATATCAGTCAATACAAAAATTCATAGAAATTAGAAGTTTCTAGAAATGTATCTGGATAAGTTCTCTTTGTCTGAGTTCATGGCTAAAATGCCATTTGATGTAATCACTCTTCTTTAATAATAAGAAATTACTGTATTTAGATATGTCAACTTTTTGTTAAAGCAGATAATTAAATTTGCTTCCATTAACCAGATGCAAAGGGAAAAACAAACAAACAAAACAATTCAGAAAACATTAAGCTGTTTGGTCAGCTCTAATAACCCTCTTAGTTTTTGTTTTCCTAATTTTAACTCTTGTTCTTTCTATTTTTATTATTACAGTTTTACTAAGATCTGAAATTGGTAGACTATTTCTCCAAAATCGGCTAAGAAATATTTTTACTGACAGATGTAGAGATTTTTGTTGTTGCTGTTAAATAGAAGCCATAGCAGCATAAGTGCATTCAGAGATAGAACTCTCAGGGCACAGAGACAGACAGATTAGGGTTTAAGTTCAGAAGATGAATAATCACATACCTGACCATTAGCAAATATGTTCGAGTTGAAGTAGAAATAAGTAAGCATGGAAAGTAATTTAAATGATATACCTCACTGCAGTGGTTAAACATTTACTTTCATTTGCTGGGCCAATGAGCTGTTAGCTGAGTACATCTATTGTGTAGGCTTTCAGGCACAGTCATCAGCTATCATTATTAACATTTTTAAAATAGTTCTTAGAGATACAATCACTTTGAAAAGAAAAAAACATTTATGTATATTTTGCATTTGCATTATTTGGATCTAATAGCTTGTAAATGTTTCATTATCTGTTCATTCTTTTGGACAGTCTAAGTCTAATTCCATTTTCCCACTGTAGAAACTTCATAGAAATAAAATCTACTTGCAACTGCTCGTTTAAAGGATTACTTTTTACCCATTTTAGTATGAAAGGATTGGGTTTTTGTTGTTGTTGTTGTTGTTTATATCGTAAAATTCTTTTTTCCAATTAAAAGAGACATTAAATAATTAAGTGTCAAATTTATTCTTGACTGGAATGCACGTGTGGACAGATTTTTTTTATCTACAATTTTAGTGTGTGAGAAGTGTTAATAATAGGGCGTTTTTAGTGAACATTTCATCATTGCCATGAAGTGCTTTGGACTAAATGGTCTACATTCCAGTAATGAGATAAGCACATAGCTACAGTAGATTGAATGGCATTATTGAGTTTTGGCACCACCTCAGTGACCTCAGTCATAAAAGATTAGTTACAGGCAAGAGGATTTGGGATTGGAGAAGTGAAAGTAGATAAGAAATGCATGTCAAGACATCACCCTTCCTTACGTTAGAGAAAGAATGTGCTAAAATAACAGGCCATATATTTCATGCAAAAATTTTATGGCACTCTTTTGTCAGTTATTCAAAAGATAAATCCTGAAACACCCATAGGCGGGTTATAGCCTGTGCTAGATTTTCAGATTTCTAAATGAGTGTAACTGCAACATTTTCTTCCTTCAATAGATGAATACCTACTGTATTTCCAAGTAGCCAAAATATAATTATAAATTTTATAGCCAAATCATTCTTAAATGTTTTCATTGGATCTAATATTAAGAACACAGAATTATATTTTCTGATTCTAAGTCTTTTTCAGGTAAAAGAAAGGTTGATTTGCAGTTGTTAGATTTTTCTCTTATGGGTTTAATTCTCAAATTATCATTAAGTAAATAGCGCTGTTTTCTATCTTTTCAAGCATAGTGTTGGATTCATTTTACAAGTAACCTGATATATTATAGAGTTAAGCAAAGCAAAGATAAATTATGTGTAGCTCTATAATCGTCCCCCCAAAATGAAGATAACATATCAGCCAAAGTTCACCTTTTTTGGGGGAAGGAGGAGCATTTTTCTAAAAAGAAAACAAAAACTGTAAGAACTTTTCAAAGTTGTTTTTGTTTGTGTGTTCAGATGTGCTGTCAACCTGCACTGCATTGCTACCCAAGCCTTAACACATCTGCCCTGCACACTGTTTTCTGAGACATCCGACCTTGCTCTGAGTTTGCTTCTGTTCCATACTACTCTACATTTTTTTAATTGACTTTATTACTGGGAATTAACCAATGCATGAGTTAGGGTGAAAGAGTCCACCAAATCTGATTGTTTGGATAGGCTAATTCACTGAATTGTTTTTATGCACTATGGTCAATGGGCTGTTTGTGGAGTGAAGCATAACATGTGGTTATTATTCATTTTTAAAGAGATTTTAATTCATGGATACTCTGGGGTGCTGTGACTTGCTTAAAGTGAATGTTTGCCAAGCCCATTAATGCTCTACTACTACTGGTCTATTACTTGTCCTTCAAAACACCTTGAGGCCAACCTGCTGCCCCAAGTTTCCTTTCTCTTGATGACAGAAGTCAATTATCTGTAAGGGGCAATAGGGCACTTGAAATATTTTTAGATTTTTCTTAACCTTTACTGCAAATTTCACTCTTGATGAGATTTTGAAGAAGTGATGTCTTATTCGAACATCTAAATAAGTTTGAGGAGTATGAACTTGACTTTGGTTTACAGGTTTTAATGGAAAATGAATGGAGCTTATGGTGGGAGATAGTTAAATAGCAGCTATTTGCAACATGCCGTTCCTTAGTAAACAACAAAATGGAAAGAGATACAGGAAGCTCTGAGAATGCCATGTTGGCAAAGGGAGATGCTAGTCTGGGCTGCGGGAGCCACGCTGCTCTAGCTCAAGGCTTCTGCAGTCATCTCCCTCTCTAAATTCTGGTCTTTCTTCAGATTCCCACAGCATTAAATCTCAGTTATTTCTACAGAAAAGCCAAGTCACAGCAGAACACACTCATCCGCGCTTGTAGTGTTACTGGAAAATTCACTGTTCTTTGTGTATAATGATTTTCAAAATCACAGATTGGGGTAGGTTGACTCAGTCCTTTGGATATATCAGAATAATCATCAAGTAAACACTACCTTAGCAACTATCATTAGCTTTTGCACTTTGCCTTCACTTTGGCATCTTCCTGAAAGATGGACACCTGGTCATGAAAGATCACATTCCTAAAGAGTACAGAGCATGCTTGTTTATTTTGAATTAATAACCTATATGTTGTTCAAATGAGTATCAATATATATTGTATTTAATTTAATATTAAAAGTTATTTTGTTCTACTTCACTTGATATATGGATAAATTGCTCTTTGAAAAGATTATTGTTTGTTTTGTTTGTACCTTTGGGTATTGAGCTCAGGACTTCATGAATTCAAGGCATTTCCAATGCTAAAATACATTAATTGTATATTTTAGTCACATTCCTCATGGAATACAGTTATCTTGGTAAAGTGTAAGTTTTCTGCTCATGCATCAACTTTGAATATTATGTGCATATTTCTTGGCATGTTCTATGGAATTCTAACTTTACTATGCTTCTTTTCATTCCCAAGGTTCATTCATAAATATGCACCCCAGAGAGTTCATTTTAATCAATAGACAATTTTAGTTGCTATATTCAGGAAACCTGACATTCAGAGAAGGTGGTGCATAGAAAACCCTTACTGATGTATGATTTGGGTATTTCTAAAACATCTTCACTTGTCAGGAAATGAGTCAGTGATGATTTAGAAACAAAGAATGGATTGTAATTTTGACAGATTAGACAGTTATAATCAGTTCGTAATATTTGTAGAATGACAACATTTTTCTATTGACATAGTTTTGTGCCAGCATGTTTGATTAAGAAACTGTACTTATTATTGGAAGGCAATAATCGATTTTAGTAATCAGTAGTCTCATATGACTGATTCAAACCCAGAGCTGATTAAGTGAACAAATAGATCTTCAGCAAATTGTTAAGCTATCAGGTCACCTTATATCTGGAATTGGTTTGATTTTTCTACCAGCAAATCTTTCAGTATGAGTATAATGTTTTTTGAAA